CTGTGCAAGCGTCTATTAAAAGATAACATTGGCCCTCAGCATCAGGTATTAGTTTAAATAATGCAAGGCGACCTTAAGCTGAAATGACAGACAAGAGACCCATATTAACACCTTGGGCATTCATCACTTAAAAAGAAAATTAACATGTACCAGAATTGGGGTACGTCTCGGATACTCTTGGGGCAAAGAGCAGCACTAAGGGCTGAAGAGATTCCAAAGGGTCAGTGGACCTGAAGTGTTAACACTCCTTTCTCTGAACAGATGCTGCCAGACCTGCTGAGTTTTTCTCCCCAGCTATTTCTGTTTTTGTTTCTGATTTTCAGCATCTGCAGTTCTTTATTGTTTTTTTTCCTCATGAAGGATTCCTGACATCTCAGTCACTTTCAAACCTTCAAACTTAAGAAGCCAGATGCTTCTACTGTAACAAGCACATTAACCCAGTGAAAAGACATGGATTTCTGGTGCTGTTTTTGATCTGTCCTGAGTAGGCTGAGCTACCTTAGGGTATCAGGCTAATAAAAATTAGCACCAAAGCATTTTATAAATTGTGCTCTGGAATGTGAGCTTACTAGACAGCAAACAAAAGTAATAAAATTTAGTTGTATAGTTGGTCTAGGATCAACTATTCCAGACTAATTTTTAAAAAAATTTACTTACTTTATAATTGTTTGAATATTAGTTTGTACTATTTTTGCTGACCCTCCCAGAGAGTAGAGTGGGATAAGATCAGATGGGATTGAAAATGGAATCAACTCATTGCACACTGTTCAGGGAGACCTAGCTCATTGAGTTTGAAATCATTAAGTAAAGTGATAGAAAGAAATAAAAGTACTTCAGTCAATTCAAGGGAAACATTCAAATTATGAAAAAAACAAATTGCTAGAGAAACTCAATAGATCTGACAGCATCATTGACAGAAAGCAGAGTTAATGTTTTGGATCCAGCGTTTCAGATTTCCAGCATCTGCAGTTATAAAAATTGTGAGCAGGACTATGCCATTTAGCCCCTCAAGCTAACTCTACCATTTGCTAAGATCATAGCTGGTCTGAATACATTCTCAACTCCACTTTCCCACCTACTACGACACCATTTGGACTTCCTTATCAAAGAATCAAATTCACAAACAGTCTTAAAAATGTTCAGTGGCCCCAACTCCAACATTCTCTGGGAAAGAGATTACCACAGAATAACGTCCCTTGAAGAAAAATTCTCATCACCATCTTAATAGGACATCATTTATTTTAAATTGTCCACTAGTTATATCATCTTCTAAAGGGGAGATATCATCTCTGCACCCACTCTCAATTCTGTCAGGACCTTGACTACTTCAGTAAGATCACCTGCCATTCTTCAGAAGTTCAATGCATACAGGCTCAACTTGCTCAATCTTCTCACACAAAATCCTCTCCATTCCAGGAATCAGTCAAGCTGATTATTCTAAAATCATTCTAAAGCAATTATATCCTCTCTCAAGTAAGGAGATCAAAACCATGTAGAAATTCTAGATTTGGCTACCAACACCCTACAGTGAAAGGTCCATACTTTTATGCTCCAGTTTTCTTGCAATGAACAAAATGTGAAGTCATTGTGGCAATGTAGGAAGTGTAGCAATGAATTACCACACAGTTGGAATGCACAAATAGCAATCTGCTAAAGACCAGATTATCTGGTCTTAGAGACACGTTAGGAAACAAACACTGGTGAGTTCCTCAGGGACAACTTCCCTTGTCTGGCTCAAAATAACACTACTGGATCTTTTACACATTCTTGAGATTTGCTGGTGTTTCTGTTGACAGGCTTTGATGAATTTAAATAACATTGTTTTGTTGCACAGCAGCTACTGGACAAAAGTATGACTGTTACTTCAGCCATTCAATTAAGTCCTTAGGTGGGTAAGTGTTGAAATATTGAGTTATTGTAAGCATTACAGCCTTCTATTGGGCCCTTTAATATCAAAAAAGCTGGCAATATTCATTCTAATCTTGAAAAGGGGAACCATGGAGAACACTTTCTTGAACACATTTTGCAGGGAATACAGCACTGCTGTGAAAGTTGCGTAAGAGCTCTAAACAGATTGAGAGGGCAAAAAAAAAATTCCAGTCACAAACCCTTATTTCCTGTTGCTCCAGGGAGGTTTTAGATGCTGTTGGTTCTCCATTTCAGTTCCACTTCCTCTTTGCATTGGTCATATTTTAAACACAAGTTAAAAATAAAGTTTCAATTGAGACCAATACTGTTATAGCTACATGAATCCTGATGGAGCATTGTAACTACCCTACAGCAAAGCAGATGATCTATAATCACCAAGGCATTGAGTTAAACAACTTCTTATTGAAGTGTTTTTACTTCTCATTTGAATCAGATCATCCTGTTACAGTTGGTGGCACAGTTCTAGGACAGTGAATGAGCAGAGTAAGTGCCTGGAGCTGTTTTCTTGCGACCTCATTTGTGCTGATTTGGATAAAGGTCACTTTATCCAAAAAGAATCAACTGTGCAGTACAAGCGGCCAAGTACGGCAATGAAGTATTTTACAGAGAGACATATTCTGCTCACCATTGCTCTGCAATGTTGTTCTTCAGGTCAAATGATTTGTTTAATCCTGTTTTCCTGTGATGTTCTATATTATCAACTTGCAAACACAAAGGAATTTTGCTTGTAAGGTTACAGGCTGTGTCTCAATGGCCACTTATGAAGACTTATTAGAATTAGGTACATGGGAAAAATATCTAAACTTTCACAGAATAAGTGTAAAAGTATAAACCTCCAGTCTTGTGACAAAGTGCATGCCTCTCCAGATTTAAATAATCTCCATAGAAAAGGCTGCTTCATTGCAAGGCTATCTTCAGAACCACAGACAACAAATGAGTGAGTAAATTGCACGTACACTTCTTAGCCCATCACAAAAGCAAGTAGAACACACCATTATAGTGAGGATATCCAGCATGAAACTAAAAGAAACTTAGAAGAACCTTTAGTCAGGCTTCACTTGGAATCATATATTGGTCCCCTCAGGTGGTTGGTGATAGACTGAAAGCATTCCTTTTAAAACTCCTTAATTATCAAAAAGCTGAAGAAACTAGGTCTTTTTAATCTAGAAATGGGTAGGATTCAGTGAGATGTAATTCAAGAGTTCAGAATTAAAAAGCAAAATGACAACCCTCAAGATTCCACAGCTATTCCTGAGCACGTGCATTTGCTCAGCACTAGTAACAGAAAATAAGTCACAAAGCTTTTGACAAGAAGAGGCTGAGATAAAATCAACACTAACAAACAGACGTTGATATTGGAACCAGAAATTGAAGTCATTTTAGGGAAGGATTTTTAGATGAGGGCTGAGAAAATTAGTTACGTAATAATTGCATTTAGTTGTAAGCGCCAACTAATGTTTCACTTGAGCACAGATTGTGCTTCTGTTGGGTGCATACACTTGCAATGTTTAACTCTAAACAAACACAAGGCACTAGTACTTTCCTTCACTGACTTTCTAAAGTAAAACAGACAGCTAAAATGCAGAGGTACTAATATTAGATGAAAGAGAGCAGAGCTGCACAAGAGGTCAGAGTTGAAATAATGCCAAATTCTTGGAGAGTTGTAGAGCTGGTACACAAATGGGGAGCAGGAAGTTTGAGGGACGGTTTGAACAGAAGTATGGAAATTTAAACAAAAAGTCTTTGCAGTGCCAGAAACAACATAGATCATTAGCAATCACTGGGACGATGAATGAACAGGACACAGAGTTAGCATGCAGAAACTGTGCTCATGCTCGAGTTTATGGCAGCATTGGGAAGCTTGGAGGCCAGCCGAGAGAAAATTTAAATTTTCCAGTTTAGAGTTAGAAGTGTGAATTTCAGCACTAAATGGGCTAATGGAAGAGTGGAAACATGTGATACATCCATTCCGTAATGAAAGAGAGAGTAAAGAGCTCCACTCATAATCAACAAGGAGGCCAAGGCTACAAACAGTATAAAGTACTGGAGAACTCAGCGTGTCTGGCAGCATCCATGCAGACAGAGAGTTAAAGAGTCATGGGACACAACATTAAGACCTTTGTTCACAGATCGTCTAGACCTGCATAGTTTCTCAGCATTTTGCTTTTATTTCAGATTTCCAGCATCCACAGTATTTTACTTTAAAGTTTGCTAACAGTCTATTCAATCTCCAAGCGGCCAAGTTGAGAGAGAGGAACTGTGGTTCAGTCACAGTAATTGTGGCAGGTCTGAGAATGGCTTTAGTCTTCCCAAGGATTAATGGGAGATAAGTGTAGTTCATCCTAGAGTTGGACAAGTAGTTCAACAGAGACCGGAAAAAGGATGGACAAGCGGTGATGAAACATTGCCATACATTAGCATACGCACGGAATCTGACATCACGTCTGTCATTTAGATGACAATACAGGGAAATGGAAGACAGATCTCGGGGCATAATAATATCACTAGTTAAGGCTGATTACAGTACCACTGCAGAACCAGAAACACAATTAGAACATATAGTTCCAGAAAGACAAGCATAATGGCAGGGTGAGTATAAATTTAGAGTTCTAAGGAAAGTGACTCAGATTATGGTCACTCCAGAGGAGGATGAAACACAGGTAGTCACAAGGATAGGGACTGTAGCCTGGAGTGCAGCGTGGCCAGAAACAAAAAACCCACTCAGCTCTGCCCCACCTTGTAGTTGATCTCCAACCTACGGACAAGACTCCCAATTACGAATACAGAGATAGTAGGAACTGCCGATACTGGAGAATCTGAGATAACAAGGTGTGGAGCTGGATGAACACAACAGGCCAAGCAGCACCAGAGGAGCAGGAAGGCTGACGTTTCGGGTCAGAAGGGTCTGCCACCCGCCCCACCCCCACATTAACCCCCGGCAGGCTCCTGTTGACACGAGCCGGGCCCCAGAGGCTGGGCAGCCTGAAGCACGGTCAGGGGCAGATAGAGACACAGCCAGGCCCGGGGCAAGTGACAAAGGCAGGGGAACCGCGCTCCGGGCCCGAACTCACCCGCCACTCGGTGACAGGAAATCGACATCATCGTCGTCCGCCCCGAACAACGACATGTCGATACGAATCGTCCGGGGAGCCGCGCCACCAGCTGATGCCGCTAACCGAACTCGATGGCGTCGCTTTACAGCCTATCGCATAACATCGCCGGGGGTGTTTCGCGGGAAAGACGTCCCCTCCACTTTACGGCACACGGGTCCGCGCCTGGGCAACGCGTCCACGGAGCATGAGCATGCGCAGAGCTGGTGGGGGCCACGTGGCCCCTGATCGGGACATCACAGGCATCCACTGCAATAGGAGGTTCAACAACAGAAGGACTTGAGGGGTGGAAACAAACAAAGGCAGCATGGATTCTCATTCTTGCTTAGGTGTAAACATCGCTAGAGTATCTTAGCGGGCAGTTGAGAGTCAACTTCATTTCTGGGCATCTGGAATCAAGTGTAGGGTAGGTTTTCTTCTCTGAAGGCCATTGGTGAACCAACTGGAACTCTGACAAAATGTATGATAGTTGAAAAGTAAGAGGTGGTTGAAACACACAAAATTCTGAGTGGGATTTCACAGCGTTTTTGGTGGCTCCAGGGAGAATCTAGACCGAGGTCACCCATTTAAAATCAACATGAAATGATTTTGTTTTCTGAAGGTTAGTAAGTCTTTAGAACTCCCTTCCTGAAAAGGTGGTAGGAGTATAGTCCTTGAATATTTTTGACGCAGACGTGGAGACATCCTTGTTAACCAAGGGTTGACAGGTAAGTAGGAATGTGGATTTGAGATTTCAATCCGACGAGCCATAAACTTATTGAATGGTGGAGCAGGCTCAAGGGGCATATTCTTCTTCTAATTTACATGATTCCATGCACTGTTACTATTTTTCTAGTCCAGATTTATTAATTATATTCAAATTCTCCCATATGGTAGGATTTTAATCCATGGCCCCAGAGCAATTCTGAATTTCTAGATTAAAGGTCTAGTGACATTGCTGCGACATCACCATCTCCTCAAGGATATGGTGGAAACGGAATTGAGGCTCCGTCCAATTATCTACACAGTAAACTATGTTCTCCATCAACTAAAACTTTCTGCTTGAAACAGTAGAATTCCAAAAAATAATGCCCAGTGATGGTGTTTATTACCGTTTCTTCATTCACTATTTGTTAATGCAGGTATTTGGGTGGAAGCTCCCTTAGGCACATTAGGCTAATAATACTAGCCAACAACAATTGACATTTGTAGCATTTTTGAGAAGGGAGACTGATGAAACGGGATAATGAGGTGCTTGAAGTAAAACCAAGCTGCTAAAGCTCAAGAAGAGCTTGCCTGTGAGACAGTCATATGAAAGATCTAACCAAGGGGCAACAAGACTGGGGAAAAGATAAAGAATCATGTGACAATGTAATTAAGGAAGGGGAATAAAGTAGAAAGGCCTAAGGACAAAATAGCTGGTCAAATGAACTTCTTGTAACCATATAACTTGACTGCTTAAACGTTGTTCTGGTAGAAACCTTATCATTCACAAAGTAGGACTTCTTGCATTCTCAAATCTAGTAAAGATCACTCGTGTCATACAGGACATCCGACTCTCGAGGCATTATTGGTTACTGGGACAAGCCCTCACCCATATACGTTTCATGTTTTGGGATGCTCTGTGACAGTAGGACAAAAAGAAAGGAAGAAATAAACAGCAATCACTATCCAGTGATCCCTACTGGAAAATAAGCAGGTGTGAATACTGGTGGAGAAAGGACTGGATTCAACTTCACAATCAAATAACCTGCCTATGTTCACTATTTGATCTTACAGAGAAAGAATGGTCGCTTGCATAATGGACTGCCACAACGCCTGCAACTAATATTTCCCATCATTAAAAAGCAATATATTAATGGAGAGCAGACATAAATCAACTTCTTCCAGAGCTCGTAATAGTTTGAGAGGACAAATATTTTGTTCAAGCCCTCAAATGTATTCAACCATTCAATTAGAGAATAGTTCAACGACACATCAAATTCATTTTCCCATGTGTATTCTTTATTATAATCTTACCAAACAAAAAAAAAACTATCTGCCTTAAAGCCCCAACACTCCCAGCATTTACAAGAGAATTGTTAACTCTGATGGGAAACATTCCTGAAGGTTTGATCACATGACATTCAGAACATGAGCATACATGTTTCATCACATGATGGTTACACAATCAAATATTTATTTCATTTCCTTTGAAATGTTTGGAGGGATATTGGTCAAGCACAGGCAGGTGAGACTAGTTTAGTTTGGGATTATGGTTGGCATGGACTGGTTGGACCGAAGGGTCTGTTTCCATGCTGTATGACTCTATGACCTAGTCCTCTTGAACTAGGACAGCACAAGGATCATCAGAGATATGATGCTGTTTATTGTCAAATAATCTCTGACACTTGTTGACAACCTCACATGAAATATCATCACTTAAACTAAGATCAATAGGTTTAGAGCTAGCCCCTTGAGGGGAAAACATGACGAAATACTTTTCATACAAAGGGTATTACAAATTTGGAAGCCTCTCCCCAAAAATGTGGATTTTGTTTCCAAACTCTCCCAGAATGACCAAGAAATACTTTAAATTAAGTTTCCACATCCTTATCTCTAGCAGCCCAGGGGATGAAAAATGAAGTTCCAAGATTTTCAGTTACAGTGAGCCCCCATTAATGACAGCTGTTTAGTCCTTCCCTCAACAGCCACATGTGGCGATACAGTGCACATCCTAACAGCCCACATGTCAAGAATCTTTTTCCTCCTTGTCCGCTTATTTCAATGGGAGTTATTGGTTCCTGTTCTGTATCAGTGGAAACAATCTTCATTATTTATCCACAGAAAGGCCCCCAGGTTACATTCATCCCTTCACTGAAAGAAAGATTTTTATTTCCATGGTGCCTTTTGCAACCTTGGGACTCCCAAAGTGCTGTACAGACAGTGAGATACTTTTGAAAAAGTGGTCAATGTTGTAATGTAGGAACACCAACTGCTCGATTAGTGCTACTCCTACTCACTTGTCCTGCCCTTCAATTGTCCTGCTGCTTCCAGCTCTTTAGAAAATGCTGTTTCCTGTCCCCAACCTACTCCTGTGTCTCAGATTCCCAAATACCTCCAGCTGGCTGCATTCCTTTGCAAGTAACCACTTAAAGCAGTCGCTTGTGTCAAGCCCACTGTAAAAACTGAGAAACTATGCTATTGAAAATGAATGAGACTTTCTGACTCCTAATGCCAGGTCAATAACTTAGAGTATCCTAGATAAACAGCTGTCATTCATGGGGGCTCACTGCAACTGGAAATTTTGGAACTCTCATTGTTCATCCCCTGGGCTGCTAGAGATAAGGATGTGGAGACTTCATTTAAAGTATTTATTGGATATTCTGAGAGAGGAGGAGGAGACAGTAAGGACTGCAGATGCTGGGAGCTGGAGTCAATAAATGTGGAGCTGGAAAAGCACAGCAGGTCAGATGGCATCCGAGGAGCAAGAAAGTCAACGTTTCAGGCCAAAACCCTTTGTCAGTCCTGACCTGTCTGACCTGTTGTGCTTTTCCACCTCCACATATATTGACTTGTTCTGGGAGAGTTTGGAAACAAAATCCACATTTTGGGGAGATGCTTCCAAATTCGTAATACCCTTTGTATGAAAAATACTCCCTCATGTTTTCCCTCAAGGGTCTAGCCCTAAACCTTTTGATCTTATTTTAAGCGACAGTAATTCATGTGAGCTTGGCCAACAAGTATCGAAGATTATTTGACGTTAAGTAGCATCACATCCATTTTGATCCTTTTACTGTCCTAGTTAAAGAGGATGAGAGTCATACTTCATGGAAACAGACCTTTCAGTCCAATCATTCTATGCCAACCATAATCCCAAACTAAACTAGTCCCATCTGCCTGTGCTTGACCCATATCCCTCCAAACATTTTTTATTCAGTACTTATCCAAATGTCTTTTAAATGTTGTACCTGTATCCACATCCATCTCTTCTTCTGCAAGTTCATTCCACACACGAACCACTCTCTGTGTAAAAAAGATTAGAATCAAGTTGTCCCACTGTTGGCCATGTTGGAATTAATAAACTCAGTTTGATACAGGAATTGAAGTTAAAGTCTTCCTTGTCTGTATTCAAATTTCAGTTTATGTTCCCTTGGTCATAATTATTTGACAATAAGAAGCATTACAGTTCTGGATTATCCTTTTCCTGATCTTGATGTCCAGAAGAAATGGTTTCTCTATATCTGCTCTATCAAATTCTATTGAAAAGTTTTAGTACCCCTGAATTCAGTGGAAATGAAGTTTTGCAGTTTCTTTGTAAGTTACCCCTCTGGTGAACCTGACTGCAATAGTAACGAAAAAGCATGAAGCATTAGAAAGAGTACAGAAAAGACTCATAGAATTGTTCCAGTGATGAGGAACTTCAGCTACGTAAATTGAGAAGCTGGAATTGTTTTTCTTGAGGAAGAGAATGTCGAGAGAAGATTTAATTAAAAGATTCAAAATCATGGGAGGTTGCAATAGAGTCGACAGGGAAAAAATGTTCCCATTGGTGGAAGGTTCAAGAATAAAACAGATTTAAGATAAATGGCAAAAGAAGGAATGGTGACCTGAGAAAAACCATTTTCATGCCATTAGTGATTTGGACCTGGAATGCACAGCCTGAGCGTGTGGTGGAGGTAGAGGCATTTTAAAGGGAAGTAGACAGCTATCTGAAAATAAAGAGGGTTTTGGGGAGTTGTTGAATGAGTTGCATTGGATGATTCATTTTGAGACCCAGCACGTAGATGAGGATCTGAACATCCTACTTCTGTGTGATAAGCATTCTGTAGTCTTCTTCTGACAACACTAACTAGATGGGAGTGTGAGTGGTGAGGACAAAAAGAGGCTTGAGGGTGATTTAGACCAGTTGAGTGAATGTTGAGTACATGGCAGATACAGTATAACATGCAGGCGTCCACTTCAGCAGGAAAAACAGACTGACAATGTTATTTAAATGGTGATAGATAGGGAAAGTTTGATGTATAAAGGGACCTGATGTCATTGTACTCTAGTTATTAGAAGCAAGCATGCAATGTGCAGCAGGGAATCTGAAAAGCAAATGATATACTGGCCTTCATTGCAAGAGAGATGGTGTACAGGAGCAAGGAAGTCTTACTGCAGCTATATACAGATTTGATTCCTGGGCTGACAGGTTTGTTGTATAAGGAGAGATTGGGTCTGTATTCACAAAAGTTTGGAAGAATAAAAGAGGATTTCAATGAAATGGGCAGACTGGATGCAGGGATGATGTTTCCCTAGGTTGGGGGATTCAGACAAGGGGTTACGGTCTCAGCGTACTCAATTAGCTTTTTTGGACAGAGATGAGGAGAAATCTCTTCACTCAGAGGGTAGTGAACTTGTAGAATTCTCAACTACAGAGGACTATGGAGACCACGTCACCAAATATATTTAAGAAAGAAATATATGTTTAGTACCTAAAGATGGCAAGGGATGTGTGGAGAATGGAGGAGTATGGGGTGAGACACAGGATCAACCATAACCATGTTGAATGATGGAGTGGACTCAGTGGGCCAAATGGACTACATTTGCTCTGATTTTCTATTTCTGTCTGTTTCCTGATGTATAGCGCTCAGAGCTGAAAAGAATATTCCAGATCTATACACAAGATTCTGTTACTTAATCATAAATGAGAAGCCTGACCGGATCTGAATACAGAGGAGAATTTTTGGGTCCAATTTTTGTTTCGTACTGACCTTGTTAGTTTCAACATGGACAACAGTGGAACAGTAGGACTGGTCCCAGTCCCCAGGATAGGGATTGTTCGCATATGTGATGGTTCTATAGTCAAATAATCTCTAACACCTTTTGGCCAAGCTCACAATGTGAAATATGGTCACATAGAATGGGACAAAGAGTTTATCATTGCTTTCAAGAGGGAAGGAAGAAAGGACAAAATATCATAAGGACAAAAAATCATAAGAACAATACATCGACTAAATCCTGTAGCATTTGCCTTCCAACATAATAATGGAGCATTTCTTTGCCCAGAGCACATTTTTTTAAATCTTAGGTACAATTTTTATTTCTATAACAGACTAAAGGAAAATGATAATTTGAATGAGATAGCAGGAACTGCTGATGCTTTTCTGAAGAAGGGTCCAGACCCGAAACGTCAGTTTTCCTGCTCCTCTGATGCTGCCTGGCCTGCTGTGTTCATCCAGCTGTACACCTTGTTATCTGATAATTTGAATGTTCCTTTACTGAACAATTACTGATCACATCTCTGTAAAATTAAGTATTTTAGAGGCATAAGTGTCTCAAACTTTTCCCAGTCCTTTAGTATCAAGTGTATGCCTCAGTTGATGGTAAGCAAGTAGTCTAGAAATTTTATTTAATTGAGAAGGTTCACATAATGGGCTTGTCCACCTGAGCTCTAACTTCCCAAGCATAGTCCTCCCTTAAAGTGCATCATGTTTTGCTCAGGTCAGAACACTTGTGGCGGTCTCTCAGCATGCAAGTGGGTCCTGCCTGGGCATATTCTCGAGGCACCAGGATGAGATCGGGCAGCTTCAGCAGCAGCAGCAGTGTTGATATCGCAGCCCAACATGGGAACAGCGAGCAGTGAGGGAGGTCCCCCAGTATCTGCAACAGCAGTGTTGACAACAGGCAGCTGAGGTTTCCCAGAGAGCAAGCTAAGTGGAGGGACTCATCAAAGGCTGCTGAACTTTTAACTTAATACTTTTTTTTGTTTAAATTAAAAAGGACTTTAATGTTAACTATTACCGTATTCCTTTATTTTTATACTTATTTTATGAAGGTAATGCTTAATTTTTAAACTCTGTTCTTCTTACTACTTTGTACCTAAATTTTTTGTACGTGTGTGGTGACGTTATACACTTTTCACTGTACTCGTGTACTTCAGTACATGTGCCAATAAATTTCTATTTCCTGGCCCTCATCCCAAAAAATTTTGCTCATGTGCCCATGATTCCATAAGATAATGAGTTCATACTTTTCATTAAAAATACCTGAAATGATGTCCTTCTGGGACTTTTGCATTTATCACACTGAAGGGAAAGTGATCTTGACATAACTTACAAATAAGGAGTTCAGAATGTTACTTTACTTTGTTCAGGGATGAAAGGCTTTTTCTACTTTCGATAAAAAATTGTACTCCAAATTGAAACAACAAGTGTTATTGAGAAGGGTTGAAAATGTTAAATGTGGCACCAGGATTCTTTATACAAGTGAACATAATTGGAGATCAGGTCTCTGAGCTCAAAAAGGGTCTACATCCCATCTTTTAGAGCAACCACAGAACCATAGTGGGCTGTGTCCGTCAGCCTGAATATTGCAACCTTAATAATCAAAATTCAGAACACCAAAACAAGAAGCAGAGCGAGAGGGGTACCTAAGAACTGAAACAGCAAGCATTTTAATTCATGAATATATTAAAAATGATTGCCGATTGACCCTGAGTGAAGTAAGATTGATTAAAAAAAAGAGAAAGTAGGAAACTATATGGACAAATTTTTGAGGATGAAGAATCTGAACAGCATAAACATTATATGCCATCTTCATGGTCATGTGTAAAAGAATCATAAAAAGACTAACACAGTCCTGGTTGGATTTTTTTCAGCAGTGCAAGCAAGTAATCCTTCAATTGTAAATGTCAAGGCTGGTTTTTGTAAATTTACTATATTGACAAACAGTCTTACTCAAAACAGGGACCAGGGGCAAGAGTTGTTTAGAATGATTTCCAAGAGGTGCAAAACTGGTGTTGGAAAACTCTTTGTTTAGTAGTAAATAATGACCCCCAATATTCTGCTTTCTTCTGTTCAGTCTGTATTGCCACACTGCCTTCCCATAGTTGGAGTCAATGGGATTAACCGTTCCAGATTCTCTTGTGACAGAGTTTGCCCTCCAGTCCTGCACCTCAGCCAAGCACTTCCAGGGCCACCAACTGGAAAGCAGTGCTGAGATAAACCAAGTGGACCCACAGGTCTTCACAAACACTCCCCTGGCATCTTCACATCTAGCCACCAATACCCGCTCACTCAGCAAAGCATTCTCTTTGTTTCTTTCCCTTGAGAATTGGTTCTCCATGTTGATACGTGACAGAATCATTGAAATTTCCTAGCACGGAAGAAGACCCGCCCAATGTGTTTGCTCCAGCAATTCAACATCCATCTGTTATAATCTCATTTTCCAGCACCGCCACGTGGCATTAGGTAGTTACGGCATTTCAAATGTGCATTCTAAATACTTAAACATCTTGAGGCACCTGCCTCAAGCACCCTTTTAGGCAGTCAGTTCCAGATATCCACTACACTTGGGGTGAAAAACAATTTCCTCAAATGCCTTCCAATCCTGGTGTTGACTTTAAAAACTGTGCCTCCTGCATATAAACTCCTCTATGAAGGGGAAAAGCTGCCCTCTATGAACCCCAAGCCCTTCAAAAGTTAGTACACCTCAATGCAGTGCCTCTTACTCTTTCACACAAGAGGAAGTCACTCCAGTTGAAGTGTCCATTACTCTTCCACAATAGTTAGTCGTCATGGTTAAAATCTCTCACTCCTTTAAACACAGTCAGTCACTCTGGGTGAAATCTCTTACTGTTTTACACAGAGTCAGTCAATCTGTGAAATCTCTCACTCATATACACAGGCTCACACACTCTAGTTAAAATCCTTAATCCTTTTCAAGAGAGTCAGTCACTCTGGTTAATACCTCTTACTGCTTTATACAGAATCAGTCACTCTATAAAACCTCTCACTCCCTTACACAGTGTTCATCACTCTGGTTAAAATCTCCCTTACATGGAGACAGTCACTCTGGTTAAAATCCTTTACTGCTTTACACAATTTCAGTCAATTTGTGACATCTCTTACTCATTTACACAGACTAGGTAACTCTGGTTAAAGTCTCTTACTCCATTACACAGAGTCAGTGACTTTAGTTGAAATCTCTCACTCCTTTACACAGAATCAGTCACTCTGGTTAAAATCTTTTACTACTTTACACAGAGTCAGTCACTCTGTGAAATCCCTTTCTCCTTTTCACAGAGTCAGTCAATCTGTTGGAAATTTCTTTTTCATTCACAGAATCAGCCACTCTGTATAAAGAGGTAAGAGATTTTAACCAGAGTGACTGACTCTATGTAAAGGATTAAAAGATTTTAATGAGAAGGTTAATGTCCTGGTGAAATCTCTCACTCCATTACACAGTGTCAGTGACTTTAGTTGAAATCTCTAACTCCTTTACACAGAGTCAGTCACTCTGGTTAATATTTGTTACTCCTTTACATAGAATTCGTCACTCTGCTTAAAATCTCCTACTCCTTTACACAGAGTTAGACATTCTGGTTAAAATTTGTTACTCCTTTACACAGAGTCAGTCACTCTGGGTATAATCTCTCCCTCCTTTACACAGAGTCAGTCACTCTGGGTATAATTTCTCACTCCTTTACACACAGGTTATCACTCTGGGTGTAATCTCTCCCTCCTGGACACAGAGTCAGTCACTCTGGGTGTAATCTCTCCCTCCTGGACACACAGTCAGTCACTATGGGTATAATCTCTCCCTCCTGGACACACAATCAGTCACTGAGTATAATCTCTCCCTCCTGGGCACACAGTCAGCCACTCTGGGTATAATCTCTCCCTCCTTTACACACAGTCAGCCACTCTGGGTTTTATCTCCAACAGGAGAAGTTCCTCAGGCAGTTGCACTGACGTGAGGGCGGCGCGCGGCGAATGTGCGGGTGACGTCAGGACGCCCCCATTCTCCACCTCCCCGACCCACTGGCGGATCGCGCGTGCGCGGTTGCGGCGTGCTCTGCTGGCGGCTGGTGGGTCCTGGACCGGTTGGTGTGAGTGGTAGCAGCGGCCTGACTGGAGCTGGTAAGGGGGGTCGTGGCTGGGTGATCCCGCCGGGTTTTGGGAAGGCATCGGCCTGTGTCCGGGGTGAACCGTGTAATGCACGGGCTGGTTAGTGGTCACTGACGGCGATATACCTGGGCACGGTGGGCAGCTCCGTCGGTCCCGAAACTTTACACTGGGCCCCTTGGTGAATGAAGCGCTCCTGTACTGCCTTGTAGAAATTGGGCCAACCTGAGGATATTTGTATCCTCCCGGCTCGCAGACACTGGTTTTAAAGTCACTGTTTATTCTTCTTCAGGCCGTTAAGTTTTCTAGGTGACTGACTGTAAGACCTTGGCACCACGTCTGCCTTTTTTTTAGAAAAAAGTGCCAGTATTAATCGCTTAGGCAGGAATGCCCTGAGAATTTATGCTCGTACAGGGCATTTGAGGAACTCGGCAAGTGCAACATCTTTTTACAGTGACGGGAATACTTTTTGAAGTGTGGTCACTTTTTAATGTCGGTAATGTAGAAACCAAATTACTGTACGTGCAGCAAGTTCTGTCAAACTGCAGTGAGATGCAGTCGAATGATCAGATTAACGGTTGGTTGAGTGACACATACTGACTGCTCGACCACGGTATCTTTTGCACCTTTTTGAGCGATGATGCCTCATCCAAACACAACACTATTGTACCGAAGTTTCAGCCTCTAGTTTGGATCTTGAACTGGCAAATTTGACTAAAAGTGCTCCCCATTGATTCAAGACTGTTGTATTCTCCAATTCCTTCTAAATAAAGGTAGAGGGGTCATTTTAAATGTGTATTTCAGTTGGTGGCAAGTCCATGGAACTCATTGATGCCGAAGGCTGTGGAGGCCAAGTCATTGAGTGTAAGACTCCAGACAGACGACTGAAGTTCTTGATTAGTAAGGGGATCGAGGGTTGCTGAGAGAAGACAGGAGAATTGGGTTGAGAAACATATTAGCCATGAATCTACAGTGGGGAAGACATGAAGGGCTGAACAACTTAATTTTGGTCCTATATTTTATGGTCAGTGTGACATATGCCTATACCACATGTGTTTAGATGATGCATTGTGTAAGATACAGACCTCATGGCAGCCATTTTTTTCTCGATAAGCTTATAGCAGGCACACCACAAATATTTTTGTGTATTAATGTTGCAACCGGATGGTTATCTGCTCTTGTGGGGAACGTGAAATCTAACAAAATGGAATAAAACTATTCACAGAGAAAAGGTTATAACTGCAGTGTGACAGTTCGAGGAAAGCAGATCCTCTTATAAGTTTTCAATAGGCATATTAAGTACTTAATTTTTAAATTTGCATCCTGGTCCATTAACTGCTCACATTGAAGTGAACTGTTTGCTGCACCACTGATGACCATCTCTGATGTGCATAGTATTTTCCCAGTTGTAATCGGGGAATAAACACATTCTACTAGTTTAACTTCGTTACTGGATTACACTATTTGCTACAATTTGTAGTGTGCAAATAAATCAGTACTACCTGCACTGATTGGAGATTTATTATGTGTAAGATGGTTGAACGTTCTGTCTCAGTAACATTGATTCCAGCTGCAGATGCTGGAAATCTGATCAAAAATTATGGGAAACTCTAAGCTAATCACCCTCTGTTGAGAAGAGAGGCGCTACCTTTGAAGGTAATGTGGATCATTTCAGAGAGGTTAATGCTTGGACAATTGAAAGTAAGTGAAATCTGGTAGTAAAGTGCATGCTGATGTTTAGTCACTGTTTAGAATACATTAAATTAGTCATATAGGATCACACTAAACTAAGGCTTCATCTTCACTGATAACTGTAAGCTATAATGTTTTGCTGCATTTGAAGACAGTTGCTTCTCAATTTTCTGCGTGTACACAGACCATTGTTTGAGTGTTTAAGGAGGCTTGTTTCCTATTGCTTTGTACATGATCTTAGAAGGTTGAATGTCCTTGGAATTCCCTGGCACAGAGCTGTGAGGGCTGGGACCTTATGTATATTGAAAGCTGAGATAGATTCTTGATCAGCAGGGGAATTAAAGGTTATGACGAAAAGGCAGGAAGATGGATGTGTGGAATGTCGGATCAGCCATAATCCTCTTTAGAGGTGGAGCATGCTCGAAGGGCTCAATAGCCTACTGCTATTCTTTTGGTCTTGTGAAACATTGGGATACAATGTGGATGAGTTTGTTTCATAAGACTGATGTGGAACAGCCTACTGATTTGGTTTATATTCTAGATAGTATTTTAAATGGCAACATTCTTGTATATGCCTATTGTCCATGTTTACTGTGAAATCAGTGTATACCCAGTGTCCATAAACATGGTGCTCTGAAGAAATTGCAGCTAAATCATAATCACGCAGTTAGTTATGCTAAAACTTGTTTTAAAATGCTACTGCCTCTATTTTCACTTGGTAAATTTTATGACTGTAGGATTACACGGTGCAGTGGTTTCGCATCATCATCTTTGACCTGAGTTGAGGATCTCTATATCCCAGGGTACAGAGCACAGACTTTCTGGAGATTTGCCACCACTTTGTTTTCAGCTGCCAAGCTGAAACTGCAAATGTCACATTGGTGAAGCAATGTTGTTTTGAGATTGGGCCTGAGTGGAGTAATGTTTTCTTTCCAATAACCCTTAAATGGGCATTTTTCATGTGTACTTATCTAGAAAATGAGTCAGGCCAGCTTTTTTTTTGATGGGGGTGGAGAGCGTCCACCCAAGTCCCTTTGTTCAGTCTTTCTGATTGCAGTATGGCGTTGTGGAGTCACAGGATAATATCAGATGAAGAACAAAAATCTCTGCTGTTTGTCTTCTGCTTGGCAAAATGACTGAGACGAATTATAGAATCCTAAAATTCTTCCTCTATTGAGATTAATTGGTGCAGACCAAGGGTGAAGCACTGCAGGCTCCTTCCAGTTTGATTTTTATTGCACAATGAGCAGTGCACCCAACAGCTGAATTACTGGTGACATTGTGAATGTATTTTTGCAAATTTTTTATGTGCAGTAAAAGGCTCTTGTGCAGATCGTGCATAGGGATGCAATCATCAGACTTGTGTTTCAGCTGATGCATGAGTTATGTGGTGATCCAGACAAGTTTATAGCAGGATCTGGGCTTGTGTAAGTTCTAGCCATAGGTAGACTTGGCTATTTTGTAATGGTCTCTCTTTGAATTGCTAGAATTCTTATGAATAGCTGGCTGATGAAGCTGCATTTTCACTTGAATCTTGTGAAGCTTTTATTGAATTTTAAGTTAACTCTGCAGTTGGCAGAACTGCATAGGTTTGTGAGATGATGGAATATGAAAGTTGTATCAAATCATAGTACTGGGCCAATCTGAATCATAGAGTAAACTGACCAGTCAACTAGTAAGAATAAACAATTGAATCTTTGTTCACAAGGTTAAACACTGTTCCTAATGTAGCCCAATTCCAGAATCTGGAATAAAACTACAGTTTTCTTCTCCCAGACTAAGTTCAGCTTGAGCACAGCAAGGGGTTTGTCTTTCTTGAACCACGTTCATTTGAACCACTGACTTCCTTTCCTACTTTTTAAAGAACCTTCATGCTGTGTTTTAAAAGTGTTGGTTTAAAATACTTGAGGGCAAAAATATTTAACCGAAACAACAAATCTCTTCGAGAATAGATCACCCGCATTTTGTAAGCAGTCTTGTGTTGAAGAGCAAATTTGAGAATGTTGCACATTGGGTTGGTTATGTTGTAATGCTGAGTGCATCATTCAGTGAGTTTAATTGATGCATTGCAATTCATGGCAGAGTCCTGAGTTGCGTACAACCTTCAGTGAGCAATGATCTGCTCAATGTTGTGTTGTGGTCTCCTGCGATACAGCATAAGCATCAGCTCTCTGTGACACTGCTTTTATACATATTACGTTTAATAAGTACTTTGCACAATAGACTTGTCTGTTCACGAAATACACTGAACCATAACTGATGTCTTTCACGCACGCTAATAGAAATTACTGGAAAAACTTAGCAGTTCTGGCCGCATCTGTGGAAAGAAAATGCAGTTAATGTTTTTGCTCCATTGACCGCAACACCGCGCCCCCACCCCCCCCCAAACAATCCTGAACTGATTGTAGCTAGGAAAAGTTTGGTATATATGCTGAAGATGGGGTGAGGGGAGGGGAAGGAATAAAAGAAAGGTGGAGATGGAGCCCAGAGAGAAAGAGGGAACAACATTTGGGCAGATGAGGAAATGGGTAAAAGTCAGCCTGGGAGAATCAATAGCTGCCAATGGAGATGATTAGTGGTTGTCAGTGGGTTGTCTGTGGTAACAGCCCATGTAATGACAAGGCCCGGTGTGTGAGGGTAGGATTAGGTCCTGGGAGAGGCTGCTCAAGCCCGTAAAATTGTTGAAATCGATATTGAGTCCGAAAGCTGCAGGGTGCCCAAGAGGAAACTCAGGTGCTGTTCTTCGAGTTTCGTGCCGAGCTTTGCTAGATCTCTGCAGCAAGCCTGAGACAGAAATCGGGGAACAGGTTGTGTGTTGAAGTGACAGGCAGCCAGAAGTTCAGGGTCATTTTTGTGGTCAGAATGTAGGTGTTTGGCAAAGCATTCTATCAGTCTATTTTTCGTCTCCCCTTCCCTGGCCAGCGTCTCTGTCTCAGGCTTGCTGCTGTGCTCCAGTGAAGCTCTGTGCAAACTGGAAGAACAACATCTCATTTTCCACTTGGAAGCCTGCAGCTACGAGGACTCAATATTGAGTTCAGCAATTTTAGGAGCTGACCACCTTCTCCCATGTCCTTATCCCAACCCCCACTCACCTTGCTTTGACATCAGACAGGCTGTTACCACAAACAAGTCATGGCCCACATTAGCAACTGTTGCTTCCCCCAGGCTGACCTTTACCCATTCGTTTGTCTGCCCAGCTGTTATTCTCTTTCCCCCCCCCCCTCTCTCTCCCCCCCACCCCCCCCCCCCCGCCAACCCCACTCGTGCTCCCCCTTCCCCCCCTGCCGAGCTCCAATCAGGTCTGAAGAAGTGTAATGCTAATTGTGCTTTCTTTCCACAGATACTGCCAGACTTCCTGAGTTTTTCAAATAATTTCTGTCGGCATTTCTGATTTCCAGCATCTGCAGTTCTTTAGTTTTGTTTTGACTGATGTGTGTCAATTTTTGTTTAGCCCTCAAGAGCATTTTAGTTTGCTAGAGTGTGTGGAGATCAAAATAATTGGCCCCTGTACTTATGAACATGATGTAATCATTTTCATACACAAGCAAGCCTCAGCTCCAATGAAAATTACAGGGTTTCTGCTTGAAGTTTTCATTATGTTGTAATTCCAAACCCATCTTTGTGTAGTTATGTAATTTGAGAAGTGTGTACAATTTACAGCAACAGAATGGACCGTACTGCCCATTGACGTAACCAAGATACATTATAGTAAGGAAATTGCAATAATATGTAGAGCTCAGGGGAACGTTTACTATGATTCCAATAGTTGCATTCCACTTCTATTATATGAATGAGTCTTGTTTGCAGTGTCTACCCAGTCTGTGAAAGAGGGAAACTAGAGTGAAATATTGGTGGGACCCTTCAAATTTACAAAACTGCTTTGATCGAACCACACTTGGGGCATTACATCCGGTTATAGTCACCATACTTGAGGAAGAACATCAGGATCCTTAAGAGGGTGTCGAGGAGGTTTACCACCATGGTTCCAGGGATGAGAAATTTTTGTAAAAGAAGGTTGTAGAAGCTGAGCTTCTCTTTGGAGGAAAGGAGCTGGAAGGAAGATTTGACATGGGCGTGTAAGGTTATGACAGATTTGGTTATGGTAAACAAAAATGAACTATTCCCTTAATAGGTGGAACAAGGTTGCTTAAGGCAGATTTTGGACAAGTTGCGGGAAGGACGTGACGAAAAGAACTTTGCATACAGAGAATAGTAATGATCTGGAATTCTCTGCTCACGAGGATATTGGAAGCAGAGACTATTAAATTGAAAAAGAAATTGGATGAGCACTTGAAGGACATAAACTTTCAGAGTTACAAGGATATAGCAGGGTAGTGGTACTGAGATAACAAGGTGTAGAGCTGGATGAACACAGCAGGCCAAGCAGCATCAGAGGAGCAGGAAGGCTGACGTTTCGGGCCTAGACCGTCTTCAGAAATGGGGGAGGGGAAGGGGGTTCTGAAATAAATAGGGAGAGAGGGGGAGGCGGATAGAGGAGAAGATTGGTGGAGAGGAGACAGACAAGTCAAAGAGGCGGGAATGGAGCCAGTAAAGGTGAGTGTAGGTGGGGAGTTAGGGAGGACGGACAGGTCAAGGGGGCGGGATGAGGTTAGTAGGTAGGAGGTGGGGGTGGGTCTTGAGGTGGGAGGAGGGGGATAGGTGGGAGGAAGGACATGTTAGGGAGGCGGGGACGAGCTGGGCTGGTTTTGGGATGCGGTAGGGGGAGGGGAGATTTTGAAGCTTGTGAAGTCCACATTGATACCATTGGGCTGCAGGGTTCCCAAGCGGAATATGAGTTGTTGTTCTGGCAACCTTTGGGTGGCATCGATGTGGCACTGCAGGAGGCCCAGGATGGACATGTTGTGGTACTGATTGGATTGATCTTCAGGGAACTGGCATAGACCTGGTGGACCATATGGCCTCCAAAGCCATCATGACTGTGACTAGAGGAAAAGTGGGAACAGCTAACAACTAGAGGCTAAATTCCAAGTTGGGACTGTCTTAGTCACAAACCACAGCACAAGGCAACTCATGTTTGTTTATGTTATGCCCCTCAATCCTGTTTGACCGGTTTGTATTTCAGAAACTGGGGCTGTGTGAGACCTTGCTCGGAGATTTTTGCAATGAAAAGCTGTTCATATCCACGGCCTGAGAGTTCCACAAATTACTGATTTAATTTTTTTATGGAGCCCAAAAATCTCCACAGTTAAATTGTTGAAGTGTTTGATCTCTTGTGAGCTTGCGTTCGTTCAGAGACTTTTGATGAGTGAAGTTGTCTTCTAAACACAAGCTATGATGTGGAAGTGCCAGTGTTGGACTGAGGTGGGCAAAGTTAGAAGTCACTCGACACCAGGTTATGGTCCAACAAATTTATTTGAAATCACAAGCTTTCATAGCGCAGCCCCTTCGTCAAGTGACATGAGAGAGAAGTGCACAGAGCATAGAATTTATAGGCAGAGAGACCAAGGGCAGAGAGATCAAAAGATCATACAAATGGTATGAGTGGAGTGTCGAATAATAAGTCTTTGTAGGTGATCAGTGATGACATTTTGAAGGCTGTGAAGAACATGGCGTAGTCTCTCCGCTCCCCTCGTCGTCCAGTACTTCCCCGGAGCAGAGAGACTGCGCCATGTTATTTGCAGCCTTCAATGTGTCATCAGTGATAATGAGCATCTCGCCAAGATCACCCCTACTCCTCCACTTCTTGCTTTCAAACAACCACCAAACCTTAAACAGGCCATTGTTCGCAGCAAACTACCCAGCCTACAGGATAATATCAACCACAACACCACACAACCCTGCCATGGCAACTTTTGCAAGACAGGTCAGATCATTGACATGAATACCACCATCACACATGGGAACACCGCCCATCACATACATAGCAGACACTCATGTGACTGGGCCAATGTTGTCTACCTCATACATTGCAGGTGAAGATGCTCCGAGGCATGGCATATTAGTGAGACCATGCAGACGCTACGACAATGGATGAATGGACACTGCACAACAATCACCAAACAGGAATGTTTCCTCTTAGTTGGAGAACACTTCAGCGGTCAAGGACACTCAGCCTCCAATCTTCGGGTAAGCGTCCTCCAAGGCGGCCTTTGAGATACACGACAATGCAGAATCGCTGAGCAGAAACTGATAGCCAACTTCCAATGCCTTGAAGTCGGCCTCAACCATGATCTTCGGTTCATTTGTGCTACATGTGACCCCAACACACTGTTCTGTATCTGTAAAATCTTCCTTGCTGTCCTGTTTTGACAGCTACCTTGATAAATTGTTATGATCTCTCTACCTTAATTAGTTTGTACAGTTTTGGATTATTTATTACTTTGGTTAGACCCTCTGCATGCGACTCTTATACCTATCATGTTATTCCAGTCATTTCATTTGTCTCCAGCGCACCTTGTTTTTAATTTTTTGTAATTATCTTTCTGCCTCAATTATTTGGATTATAGTTCATTCCCGTCACTTGTTAGTCAGCTGTTGACACTTTACTCACACCGCTGACAGTTTTGATCACCTGCAGAGACTTAACATTCGATGCTCCACTCACACCGTTTGTGTGATCTTTTGATTTCTCTGTCTATAAATTCTGTGCCTGTGTGCTTCTCTCTCACTTCACCTGATGAAGGGGCTACACTCCGCAAGCCTATGATTTCAAATAAACCTGTCAAACACAAGCTAGAGATTGAAAAGGTGGTATGTTATACAAAGGCCATTCCAATCCTGGAATTGGGAAGTTGCCAGAAGCACATACTAAACACAAGCTAAATTTTTAAAGTCTTTGGGTTCACTGAGTCTGAGTTGGCCAAAGGATCTGATAACAACTGAACGATCAGGAAAGACTGTACAGTCAGGAATTCTTTCCAGAAAAGAACAGGCAGTGGGGTAACCTGAAAAAAGTACTGAAAGCGCTTGACAGAAATCAAAAGTTAGGTTCAGAGAAGATGTTACCTCTTCTGGGAGGGAATAAAACAAGAGTGCGTAAATAATGGAGTAAAAAATTCAGGAGTAACTTCTTCACTCAGAGTGATTAGATGGGAGAATGCTCTAGCACACAGAGCAGAGGTGAACAGCATGTTGACATTTAAGGGGAAGCCACACGAGGAGAATGCAATAGAAGAATATTTGGAAAAAAAATGCTGATGCTGGAAATCAGAAACAAAAACAGAAATTTCTGCAAAAACTCAGCAGGTCTGGCAGTATCTGTGGAGAGAAAGTAGAGCTAATGTTTCGTATCTAGTAACTCCTCTTCAGAACTGCAAATATGCAAAAAGGGTTGTTGAAATAAGGTGGAAGCCAAAGGTCAGTATTTGGGTTGAAAGGCCTATTGATGTTACAAATTTGATCTATTTGATCTATTCTCTTGTCAGTGAAGATGTTATAAATTTTTGATTTTTTTTTCATTTGTGGGATGAGTTGTGTCACTGGCTAGACCAGTATTTATTCTCATCCCTAATTTCACAGAGGGCAGTCATGATTCAAGATAGCTGTGGATCTGGAGTCACATGTAGACCAGACCAGGTAACGAAGGCAGTTTCCTTTCCTAAAGGATATGAGTGAACCAGATAGGATTTTCTGACAATTAATAATGACGTGGTTACCATTAGACTTTTCATTCCAGATTTTTATTCAATTCAAAATTTGCTGTCCATCACAGCAAGATTTGAAGCTGAGTCCCCAGAACATTAATTAGGTTCTTTTATTGGCTCGTGGGACATTAGCTTTGCTGGCTGGCCAGCATTTATTGCCTGTTGCTAGTTGCTCTGAAGAATGCGGTGGTGAGCTGCCTTCTTGAACTGCTGCATTCTCCATGCTGTGGGTTGACCTACGATGCCATTAGGGAGGAAATTCCAGGATTTCCAAGTCAGGAAGATGAGTGACTTGGAGGGGAACTTGCAGGTGGTTCTGGTCCTATGTATCTGCTGCCCTGCCCTAGATGGAATCACTTGTGGGTTTGGAAGGTGCTATCGAAGGATCATTGGTGAATTTCTGCAGTGTGTCTTGTAGATTATACACAGTGCTGCTGCTGAGCGTTGGTAGTGAGAGGACAGAATTCTTATGGATGTGGCGCTTGTCAAACAAGCTGCTTTGGCCTGGATAGTGTCAAGGTTCTTGAGTGTTGTTGGAGCTGCACTTGTCCAGTCAAGTGGGGAAGCATTCCATCACACTCCTGATTTGTGCCTTGTAGACATTTGACAGGCATTGGGGAATCAGGAGGTGAGTTACTCACTGCAGAATTCCTAGTCTGTAACCTACTCTTACAGCCACTGTATGTGGTGAGTCCAATTGAGTTTCTGGTCAAGAGTAACCCCTAGGATATTGATAGTGAAGAATGGCAGTGATGGTAATACCATCAAATGTAGACAGGCGGTGGTTAGATTGTCTGTCTCCTGTTGAACATGGTTATTGCCTGGCATTTGTGTGTACAATGTTATTTGTCAGTTGTTAGCCCAAGTCTGGATATTGTCCAGATCTTGTTGCATTTGAACAAGGACTGCTTCAGTATCTTAAAGAAATGCGAACGATGTTGAACATTGTGCAATCATTGGCGAACATCCTGACTTGTGAGCTTATAATGGAGGACAGGCCTTTGAAGCAGCTGAAGGTAGTTGAGCCTTGGACACTACCCAGAGAAACTTGTCCAAAGATGTCCTAGAGCTGAGCTGACTGATCTACAACAACTAGAACCAATTTCCTATGTGCCATGTGTGACTTTAACCAGTGGAGAGATGGCCCCGATTCCCTTGATTTCAGTTTTGCTAGGGCTCCTTGATGCCACACTCTGTTGAATGCAGCCTTAATGTCAAGGGCTGTCACTCTCCCTTCATCTCTCGAATTTGGCTGTCTTCTTCATGTTTGAACCAAGGCTGTAATGAGGTCAGGGGCTGGATGGCCCTGGTGGAACACAAACTGACTGTCATTGAGCAGATTATTGCTGAGCAGGTACTGCTTGATAGCACTGTTGATGACACCTTCCATCACTTTACTGATGATACAGAGTACATTATTGGGGTTGTGATTAACTGAGTTAGTTATGTCCTGCTTTATTATGTCCAGGACACAGCTGGGCAATTTTCCACATTGTTGGAAGATGCCAATGTTGTAGCTGTACTAGAACAGCTCGGTTTGGGTATGGAAAGTTCTGGAGCACTTGGGTCTCTGGATTAATTGTCCAGCGGTAATACCACAAGGATATCGCCTCCCCTTAAATGCCGTCAGATAGAGACTTCGTATTGTTATGCGTGGGTAATTCGGTTGCACCAGTTTATCTGTTTGAATTTTTTACAGTCCTTGTGAATGTTTTTGGATCAATTTCTGCCATTTCTGCTTTCAAGGCCTCTGTGTTCGTACTACTGAAAAACACCATATTTAGTCAACCATAATGTACTAAATGTAATGCAGCCTGGTTCAGCTGACCGTCAGGCTTGTGATAAATGTAGTGTGGATTTATTCACCAGGTGGGCAGTGGAAAAGGTTTGTGCTGCACTATCTAAATGGCCCATTTAGATATTTTCCAAATAACCTGTAAAGAACTGGTGTTATGCGCCTCTGGGGCAAGTGGGACTTGAACCTGGGCCTCCTGGCCCAGAAATAGGATCACTACAACTGTACCGTAAGAGAGCCCCTGCATTGGCCAAGTTAGTATTTAACTCAAGTAGAGGCCAGTTGGTTGCAGTTTTATTTTCTTTATCTGTACTGAGTTTGTTAAACCCTTCACAACATACGATACAGTTTGACGAGAAGACCAACAGGCCTGTCAAATATTCCCAGCAATGGCTGCAGAATTGTGACAAAACACCTTTCATCTTTCACTTACCACCCACCATTCCATTCCAGCCGTCATGTAATCTCCTGGGAGTGTGTGACTGTGCCTGTGTGTGTCTTCTGAGGAGTGGTGTGCAAAAATTTAGTTTGGTTTTTATGCCCAAAAGGTGAAATGGCAAGTCAGAGTTTACTACCTATTTTGTCATGGAATAGCCTCTTGGCAGAAGAGATTGTCAGCTACTCAATTCTTGTCTACTATAACTCAACAACAGTAAATTGGAAACAGAAAATTTTGGTGGATGTAGCTAACAGGCATCTTTCTTGTAACACTGGCAGGTTTCTACATGCAGTTAAAAGTCATACCCTTTTGTTAAACTATTTCTAAATTGTACTCTGTGAGGAATTTAAAAATGTCCTTCAAAGGATATGATGTCCGTATTGCTCAGTCAAGTGCTACGCAATGAGAGTTGTTCAAGACTTTTGGCTGGTGAAATATTTGTACTAAAATAAATAACACTATGTGTTCTGAGTTAGTCAATGTAAGGGCAGTCTGGTACGCTACCATGTCCCAATTCAAGGGACAATGCAGAAAAACACCTGTCATCCTGCCCCAACTGTTATCGAACTAGAACACGCTCAGTGCATGGGTGTGAATTGTGAAATAGTCCATTAAAACCCACTTTGGTCTTACAAACTTGAGGAAATTATTGGTATGTTTGAGGTGGTTCACAGAATCCCTGCAATGTGGAAGCAGGCCATTCGGCCCATCGAGTCCACACCGACCCTCCGAAGACCATCCCACCCAGACCCAGGGCCACACCCTATCCCTGTAACCCTGCATTTCACATGGCTAATCCACTTCGCCTATACAACCCTCTACACTATGGACAATTTAACATGGTCAATCCACCTAACCTGCACATCTTTGGACTGTGGGAGGAAACTGGAGCACCCGGAGGGAACCCACACAGATACGGGCAGACTGTGCAAACTCCACATAAACAGCCCCCAAGGGTGGAATCGAACCCGGGTCCCTGGCAGTAACCACTGAACTACCGTGGTGGAGGGCTAGGTAAATAATGGAAGATGGAAACATGAACTTAAGTTGCAATATTTGTCTTTATTTATTTCATGAAATACAGATGTTACAGACAAGGCTAGTATTTGTTGCTATCTGTAATTATCCTAGAACTTGTTCTGTCATTTCAGAAGGCAGTTTTAGAGTCGATCACATTCTTGGGAGTCTGAAATGACATGTAGGTCATAGCTCCCTCACTAAAGGACACTTACTAGCTGGATGGTTTTTG